TTGGATAATCTATTATTGCACTCCAAAAGCTATTAGCATAGATAAGATTCACCCAAAACTTGACACTTTTCCTCACACCACCCAAATCTAACCGTTGATTCATTGGGTTACTCTAGCCTCATCAACTCAAAATTGCCAAAATGCCACTATATATATATGATTTTTTTTCTTCATTTTTGTGATTATCTTTTGATGCTACAAAGATTTAGTAGGTTATTCACGTAGAAGACACAATTTTCCTTAGAAGAATTCTTCATCTTCAACCTCCCGATTCTCCTACAAAAATCTCCCAAAAATCTCCATTTTTCTCATTTTTTCTATGTTTCCAGCCAAAATACACTCCAGACTTGTAGCACGTCATGGTTGGGGGATTTCATGCTATAGTTTAAGATTCTAGGTTGTCTTTCTTGAGGATCAAAGGGTCAACTAGTAGAGTTGGCATTAAGACATAGAATCAAGTCCTCCATTCAAAAGCCCCCACACCAATCATCCTTCCTTCTTCCATTACTACTTTGAAGTTTATTCCTTTTTTTTTTTTGTGGAAGCTTAAAGAAGATTATTATGTTTTTAGCCACAACATGAAGGTTGTTCATTTTAGAGTGGGAGTATTTGTCAAGGATAGTAAAGGGCACATTTATTGTGTTTATTATTATTCTACAACATATTTCATATAAATGTGCTTCTCAAGTGGTAAAAGTCACTCTTTTGTATTTTCTATCCATGCTACTCCTACCATAATGTACATCTCCTTTTCATTATTTTTGGTAGTTATGTAATCGTTCTTAGCTCTTGAAATTCTGTCATCATTGCCCAACTCTCCTAACTTGGCTGGGGAAGTTATACTTTTAGACTTTACTAGAGAACTTGAAGTAGACCATCTTCGCTAAATAGAGGGAGACTGCTTGTGGTACGTAGTCTCTTGCACACATGAAATGGATGCAAGTTAAAAGGACCCTCCTCATCTCTTGTAGAGGGCTATCTTAGTCAGCTTTCACATCATCATTGCTACTGACTCATCAACCCCCTACCCCAACTACGAATTGCCACAAAACTGCTCTAGATCAGGTCAAGACCTGCTAACATGGCATACTTAAAACTAATGGCGAGCCCAATTAGACATGTGGCATCCACTCAATGATTTTTTATTTTAGGTGTAAACAACTCCTTTTTTTTTTTTTTTTTTTTTTTGTACATTAGAGGATTAGCTACTTAGCTACATAAAAGTTTGAATCTCTAATCTTAACCCTAAATCAAAGTCTTGGTAACATAGAGGTTTGAATTTCTGACCTTAACTCCAAATCAAAATCTTTGAGTTAGCGGGTACCAACTTGATCAAATTCTTTTTGAGAAAGAATCTATTTATATACAAGTTTTACATGCTACATTTATACAAAATTGCAACCTTTAATCTCAACTTTTAATAGCTGAAATTTAGCATATTTTTAAATAAAAAATAATTATCTTTGATAAAAATGATAAAAAATAAATGTTAACTATTAAAAATAAAAAAAATAAATAATTAAAATTTTTTATAAGTATGATATGTAAGACTCTTAATAACTGGAACCTAAGTAAATTTCTTTCTACTATGGAAGGTTATACCGGATTGATTTGAGCGCATTTGGATAGGATACAACGTGAGATGAACACATTTTAGGCCTTTTTTCCATTCTCCTTCTCCCCTGCCCTCTCGTCATCTTGCGAGAAATAGCAAGAATTTCCTTCCCAATCATGTCAGTTAATGATGATATGCCAAGAGACTCTCACAAAGCCTCCTTCTCCTTCCTTAACCACCTTGCGAGGCTTCAGTTGAGCCGCTATGACTCCAGGAAACGCCAGGATAGGAACACTTTTATACAGTACCTGAAGAACCAGAATGTCCATGGTCTTGGTTGCTCAGATATCAGATGAAGTAATGAAGGTAGTGCTGAATTTAAGCCTCTGAATTTCGCTTATGGTTTGTTTTATGAAACTCAGTTTGAAATTTATAATTATTTGTTATGTGATCTCTACCAACTACTAAATATTGAGGACATATTTTTAAGTACATTTTGATGTCACGAGTATTTGCAAGATTGGCTTTAATAGCTGTGTATATATTGTTGCTTTCCTCCCAATGGCCACACGCACTTCATTCTCCACCTTCTAGAAGATTTTATGCCTAACCTACGCTGACTTCATTTTGATTATCATAAATTTCAAAGTTTATTGATTTTGCATTTTATCAATTTTGCTAGCTTGGTGTTAATATCAAATGAGTAAAATAGTGATGTTTTCTGGATTCTATTAATGCAATCCCTTCTAATCCAGTAGCAGGGGAAGGCCTAGGATCTAGCGCTGGTTGTGATATCTCAAGTCCTTCATCTTCAACAATAGTCCAAGTATCTGCAAGAGATATGATACGTTTCGCGTTCAAGATTGGAATCCGTAGTTTGTCCAGATGGAAAAGTAACAGTGAAAATGAACCACAAGGAGACTGTATCAATCTTCTCCCAAACTTTAACTTTAGGGAACTTCAAATCCCATTGACAGCCCTCAGTGCAGAACATGGTTATGCCTTAACGTTTTAGATTAAAATGCTGTGCTCCAGGGTCCTCATCCCAAAGGAATATCTATTTGTATTCAGCAACAATGTCTGAATGCAAGAAACGTTCGCCAAACCACCTATGACTTCATATGACAATGTTTAGTCATATTGCGATACACTAACATGTGGCGTACCATTCGAAAAAGAAAAAAAAAAAAGGCATTACAGACCATTTTTTTTTTTTTTATTTACTGCAGACAATGTATGGCTTTGTTGCTCCAGTCCAAATCACTCCATTCATCCACAGCACCATCGTCATGAAAAAGCGTCACAACAAAATCACTAGAAGGAAGCTGCCACATGAAAGTGGATATTGAGCATAATTAGCATAAGACAC